GGGGGGGGGGGGGGTCAGGGCTGGGACCTGCTGGCCTGCTGTAGGACATCCATCCCCTCGCCGCCGGAGAGAGGAGAGAGAGAGGACACCGAACAGCAGCGGCTGCCGCGGGGTGTGGCGCGGGCAGGTAGGTGGTGGAGGCGCTGCGGCTGGTGGCACCCATGGCCATGGAGGCGCTGAACCCCCAGCTGGACACGTCCGTCGCCCTGCTCAGCTAACAAATCATTCTGGTAAAGCTGAAACCGAAATAATACAGGGAAGAAGAAAACGGTACTCGCTATGCTTTAAAATGGTGACTTGGACAATGTTCTTGTTCCCTGCATATTTTCTGCATTTCAGTTTTACTGGAGGAGGTCCTGCAGCAACACTTGTTTGTACACTTTTCCCTTCATGTAGTAACAATTTATAACACAATATATGAGGCAGGATAGCATTTTACTATTTATTGTTACTGCATGTAGGGGAAAAGTAAGTGACACAGTTTGTCAGTTTAAGTAAATAATGTTTAATGGACTGTGGGTCGACGGAAATCAAACAAGTGCTTGTCCAATTGTATTGATCGTATCTGGCCATGTTTCACTCCTGCCAAACCAAGTTGGGTATATTTCTCATTCTCATTCAATTTGCAAGCTCTATAGCATCTAAAGAAAAGCCAATGTATGTAATCATTCATTTAGAAAAGGATAAGGTAACATATCCGCAAAATAATATGCTCAGAGCAAGGTGGATCAGAGACTACGAGCACAACTGAATGATAATTTATATGTTTTCAACTAAAGATTAATCACTATGAATGCTGCCAAGCATTTAGCATTACATAACTTAACATTTAATATTCAAGTTTTGTCCAAAGTCACCTGACAAATTTAACCTCACTTTCTTCAGACAGCATACTCCTACTTGTAGTTAATTAAAACTACTAATATGGTGATAGTTAATTATTGTGTCTTCTGCTTTCAATTAAAATGCAAAAAGAATGGTAAGAAATTAGAAGAAAAGTCACGAGCCATGAGAAAAATCTACCAAAATGACAAGGGAAAGCAGAAGTAAGGCAGACGAGACGCGGGGCGGGGTGTTGGGTGGGAGGGGGAGGAGGGGATAGCAACAACATCAACAACGACAGCAGCAGCAGCAGCAGAAGAGACGACTATCGGCAGTTTTGAGTGTCAGTAATAAAAGTACTTGCTGAAGGCAGACCAGTGTGTTGACAACAAATTAAAGTCAACATGGCGGTCTTCAGAGGTTACTGCGAGTGTGATGCAAGAATTAAAATGCAGATTTATTTTTATTTTGAAGTGGCTTCGACTGTGACAGTTGACTCGTGTCAACGCTTATTGAGATCCGTGCCGATACGAGTACGGACATCTGAGCATAACCCTAATTTGTGCACCTAAACTTAGTCTGAATGATGGTTTAGGCCAGCTGTCCATCATAGCCTAGCCTTCCTAGTCAGAACAAGGGCTGGGGTGAATGCTCTCATATTGACTTTTGAGGACAAGAACTTACACAATGGATTTTTAATACTTTGGTGAGTTATACAAACCATCTCACCCTCCCCTCAGTGTTGTTGAACCGATCATTGATAAAATATATCGTATTGAAAGGAAGGCTTCCTCGTATTTTATATTATATGGTCTCATCATTATATTTTAACATTTGTATTCCACCCTCTTTTCTCAGACAGTATTATTATGATTGTTTTTACTCTAATTTCTAACTTTTGGTGTTTGTAGAGGGATCTCATGGGCAAGAACGCCAGTATTATGGTGTTAAAATGACATTTCATTCCCAGTTCAGCGTAACTTAGAATAATGCTGGGTGATCACCGTAACTTACAATGATATTCACCGTAAGCTACAGCGCAACCCACCGTAAGCTACAGTGCAACCCACCGTAAGCTACGGTGCTGCAGGTTGACCGTGGCTTAAGGTCAAATTCACCGTAAGCTTTTAACAGTGTATAATGGAAAATTTTCCCGTAACCCTTACGAGTATTTTTCACAGTGGCTGCAGTGTGTTGTTCTTTTTTTTTTGTTAGCCCCTATTTTCCCCTATATCCTAATGCAACATATTTGGACATTCGCCCCTTTGACAAATTTTTATTGAGACATTCGCAAATTTGACCATTTGGCCCACGGACATTCGTCGCTCTGTCAAATTGTTTTATCGTTTGTTGAAAATACTATGGACTTTTGTGGTTTTGTCACATCGCTTATGGACATACTTCTTCTGATGCTATGTGTGTAACTCTGGAACTATGATAGATATGAATGTGCCGTTTGGTTCTACATAAGTAGAATAAAATTATGTCCCAGATGACATTAAAACCTCAATTTAGCAAATATATGGACATTCGTTCCCTTATCAAAATTCGACTGATTTGCCATAGGCCTTACACGCACGACGGGGGGCGGATGGAAGGACGGACGGACGGACACGAGAGCGATTGCATCAGCCCGCTTTAATGCTTTTTTGAAAGTTGAAGGGCGGGTTAAAAAAGAATATCCCAGTGCTTCCGAAAGAGATACTGAAAATATGATTTAATGCAAAAAAACCTTTGCTAGAACTCTGTGGGAGCTGTGTTCGTTCACTACTGTGCAGTAGCTTGGACTAAAATCGAGGGTCAGAACTCTGCGTACTTCCTCTCTGAAATTTTACGATTGGAAGCCTCCTTGTACGTCTTTACGGCGTACGACGTACGACATCGTAGAGCGCCCTGACAAAGGAAACCGTAACCAGCATCGTTTTATCTTATAGAAAAACCACTCATGAGCAAAATCCGAGTTATTACCCTCGATTTTGGGCCAAGCTAACGCGCGTGACTGAACTGCGTTTCCAGTCTCAAGGGCGGTATCGAAGATCTGCGAGTAAGGTTTGCGCTTTACCGTTTCATTGTCTTTGCTAGGTAGCAAGCTGCTTTCTTCTGCTGGTCAGTGCGGCAGCAACCAGTTCTTATGTACTGGCCACGGTTGGGGCGTTTTGCATATCAATCACGGCGATCTGCTCGCACAACTTCACGCACATGAGGGACAACTGGCGAATGTACTATCTCAGCTTGTGCTACTTGTCTTTGGAGTAAGTATGTAATAGAAAAAAATACGGAAATATTAAGGGGGGGGGGGGGGGGTAAAGTGAGATTTGCCATTATTTCATACTTTTTCAGCCCCTTACACTGCCTGAGCGGTTGATCTGACTCCTAAATGTAACTGGCCATTGGATTCCCCACACCTTTATACCTCCCAGACAACTAGAGATTCTGTTCTAACAAAATTTTTCTCCTTGAAACAATTGTTGAAATCAGCTAATTTTGTCCGAAATTAGGGCTTATGACTGTACTTTATTGCTCCTTAAGTCCAAAATAATTCTAGACACAAAGAATAGAAATTACTTTTTTGTCACATAACTGTGTTATCACATTAAGTCTAAGGGGGGCTAAATACCAAGTTTTGCTTTGAATGGGAAGTTAAGGGGGCATCCTAGTGTAGCAAGCCTAAAATAGGGCTTCTTTGCGGAATTAATTATAGAAAACCCATAGTTTCTAGATCAAGACCGAGAATATCGTTTAGTACATTTGACTATCAAACGCAATGCGTCCTTTTTCTGGACAGTTATTTTTCTCTCCATCACTAAGATGCAAACTCCTCACATCTAGATTCCAATCTGCACCCGGTTGAGATGTGCTCAAAAACGCGTCTTTCTATGGACAATAAAAGTCCTTTCAGATTGAGTGTGTTCGGCACACCACCGGGACCTCGGCTCTCTAGCTTTGTCTCTCTCGCACACCAACTGCGCTCAGCACGCGCTTAGAGTGAGACACGTTCGGGTACGGATGCCAGCCTTTGGATCTTGCACCGTTCAGAAAATATTGAAGGAAAAGGGAACAAGCTAGGCCCGCTCTTCCGCCAAACCAAGTTGCCAGCTCCGCCTCGCTCCACCGGCAACTCGGTTCGGCAGGGAGCGGGCCTAGCTTGGCCTGCCGGCGGCGTTTGAGACGGGCCTTTGGCCCGTCCGGCCCGTCCCTTCAGAATTTTCATGGTGTAATATAGCTTCTATCGGAAAACGGGCCTTTGGCCCGTTTCAGTGACGGCTCGCTTTGAACCATCTTTTTGCGAGGAACCTTTGTTTGCCTACTTCGTAATCAAAACTCAACAAACGAAGCATTTTTTCATACGCTGAACATCTTTGGCTGTGTGTGCCGCAGTTTGTAGAATTCATGCAAGTTATGCCTAATCCCTTCTCAGTTATTGATGTTAGCTTATGGATCCAATAAGGCACCTATGAAAAAATATATAAGACTAGAAGAAATTAAAAATGTCCTTCCAGGCAAACTCTGAATGACTCCAATCGTGTCCGAACATTGAAATAAATGTTTGTTTGTTTTTTTTTTTTTTAATGGGAGTGTACACATTTTACTCATGATGTGCCACCATAAAATAAGCCCACTCTTCTGTTTTGAAGAAAATTCTGAACCGACGTCATACTTCTTAGACAAAAGTGTACTCCTGAAAATAAATGAATTCTGTTTTGGCCATATTGGTAAGAAAAAACCTCTTTTGAAAGTAAACAGTTAAGCCATACGGACGACATTTTAGACCAGAGGTTTCTTTCACGATTTACCCCTTTGGAGACCATCAAAAATTTTGTTAAATT